CCCCTCCCCCGAGTAGGGGACAGACCATGTCTGCCCCCCTCACCCCACACGTGTGATGAAGAATTTCAACGTGAGTATGGTGGGCAAGCCCGGCTCTCCGGGCGCCGGATATCCCCAAGCGAGTATGTTGCTGCCGGGGTCGACGGGTGGGCCGCCGAAAGCGGAGATGCGGAAGGAGGCGCCGGAGGGGTTCGGGAAAGTGGCGCCGTTACTGAAGAAAAAACCTCCACCGCCGTCAGGACCGCCGCCGACGGCGCCTGCCGTCGTGGCGGGGCCGCCGCCGGCCAGGAGAGAGAGGCCGGTGAAGGAAGAGCCACGGCTTTCGCCGCGGCGGACGGCGGCAGAGGAGGCGGAAGAGGCGCCCGTTGAGGAGCTCACTAGCGAGAGCGAGCCGAGCGAACCGGAGAGCGACGGTGACGACTACCGCGAGCGCAAGAAGAAGGGCACTTCGGACCGAAAGGTCAGCGGTTCAGATCGCAAGGGCGGCTCCGAACGAAAGGGCGACCGCTCGGATCGAAAGGGTTCAGAACGGAAAAACGAAAGGGGCGGAGACTCCAGAGAAAGAGATTCCAGGGGAACTCTTCCGCCCGCGAACGCCGGCATCCAGGTCCATTTGACTAGCATCCAACCAAACACCACTCTCGTCAGAGGCGTTGTGACTCAGCAGCCTATTGTTTCCCAGGAAAAAACGTGGGCTGCTCTCAAACACTCGCTAGTCTGCCAACCCTACCGCAGCGTCGACGATCCGTTCAGTTGGGCCCGGCACCGCATGCCCTGGATCGGCTGCTGCACTCACACGGGTCGCTCACCACCGCTGCGCTGGTCCTCCATCCTGTGGTTCTAACCTCTGGTTGTAGTCGCATACTCATGAAGCCTCATCCCAATGACTACAACGAGGCTTCATGAGTATGCGACCTTGTTGGCTGCTATTGAAGGGGGTGAAGGGGGTGATGGCCGAAGGGGGTGATGACCGAAGGGGGTGATGGCCGTAGCGGCTTGCCCGCATTGGAGCGGCACGTCCATGTGAGGCCGCACACGCGCTTGGATCACACATAACGGCGCGGAGTCACGCACAACGGACACCCGCACACACGTGTCCAGTGTTCTCCCGATTGGCCGCGCTGCCCATTCCCGTGCGGCGATCCCGTGTGGCGATCCCGTGTGGCGGTCCCATTGCCGACGACACCCAATATAGAGCTGACAAAACTGAGCTGACCTTCTAACCCCTGGTCAGCGTAATAAACTTGCCAGGCAAGCAAGACTGGCGTATACGATCCGGATAGCCCGAACGCGGGTAGCGCAAGCGCGCCGAGTAAATACCTGTGTGTAATCCATCACCTAAGACTTCGGTTCTTGACGACTTCTCTTTCCCAACAACTATCAGAACATCACAACCTCGAAACATCAGCATTGATTTCGGCCAGCACTGACTTTGAACGCGTTGAACTCCGGGCATTCACCATCGGGAGCGGGAGACGAAAAGGGCGGCGAGAAAGAGCAGCCAGCGGTACTCAAGAGCTAGCGCTTTCCTATGAACTCGACCTATGAACTCGACCTATGAACTCGACCTGTGAATTCGACCCTTTTTGGGGACCCGCTAACTTTAGCACGGTCGCTAACTTTAGCACGGTCGCTAACTTTAGCACGGTCGCTAACTTTAGCACGGTCGCTAACTTTAGCACGGTCGCTAACTTTAGCACGGTTGGGTGACTAAGATAGCGTTAGTTGGCTTCGTCGTTAAATTCGATGTCTACTAGGTGGCTAACTTGATGAATTAGCACCAGAAGGACTGCGAGTCGTGAGCAAGTACTTCTCTTGCGTTTTCATTCTCTTGAAGGTCGACGTCTTGTGTCTTGACCAGTGTGTTCTTGCGTTCGCCGAAGATGAAAATGCCGATGGATGCCAGCACTATAGCCACGGCACCGGTCGTCGCGGCAGTCAGCTTTACTAACGACTCACTTTCGCTCGCAGCCACACCCCCCACCGGCAATGCGGGTAGAATCACCCTGTCCTTACTCGGTGCTCGCGCAGGCAATAATGTAGCCGGGTCGGGCAGCACGGGTTCCGTTGGACCGACCCATGCAGTAATAAGCGGTAGCAACACCAACAGCAGCATCGCTAGCATTAACGACATACCGGACCAAAAAAATCTTGTGCACTTTAAACCCAATCTTTATTCCGTCGCCAATAATACCCCTGCCCCCCCACCCATTTATCAACGACGGAAATCGCCACCCTACGAGTTGCCCGCCACTGGGTAAAAGCGCTAGACCGGCCAAGCACTGGGGGCAAGTGCCAGTCGGGCTGGGATTAAGCTCGTGGCAGCGGCTGGGGAAAAGCGGCCTCCAGCGGTAAGGCACCTAGCGCCTCCTGCATCTGTTTCAAGCGGATGTCGGAGCCGCTGCGGACCGCCTCGGCGTCTGTCACCAATTTGATCAAGTCCTGGCGCACACCCTCGACGGCTTCGGCTTCGAGTTTGAAGTTTTCGAACGCGGGCAACAGCTTCACCTCCAACAGCTCCACCTTGCCCGAAGAGCGACAATGCCGCGCAAATAATACACCGACCACACACGACTGCACCAGAACTAACCAAGGAAAAAGTCGAGACTAGCATCGGGGAAGAGAGGGGGGAGGGGGCTGCATCGGGCCGGGTGGGGGGACTCTGCATAAGGGGG